TTTTTTAGCTTTCGGAAAAATTTTAAAACTTATATTGAAAATTTTATTATTTTGATTTTTTTTGTAAGCAAAATCATTAAAGGATTTTTGATTTTTTTACTTTAACCTTAGCTAACTTTTGTAGGAGTGAATTTATGGTAAAAATCATTACACAGTTTTTTACAGCGTTTGCGCTTTTGACAGGCCTCTTATTTCACTCTCCCGAAAAAATTCCACAAGGGATTATGAAAAAAAATAATTATGTATGTAGTCGATTTTTTCGAACCAGTCTAATGTATCTAACGTATCCACATTTATACACATTAAGGTTAGACGTTTTAGCCTAGTCAACGCTTAACTATCAGTTACCTTGTTTATAACTAATCTATCCCCATTGCTATTGTCTATGCTTGTTTTTGTTGCTAGCATCTTCTTGTACCTATTCACCCAATGGACTTCTAACGCGCTTGTACTTTTAACGGTGCTACATTGTCTCTTTTTCAAAATTTCTTCAACAGTCAACGTCAATGTGTGTGTGTCTTGTTCTACTTTTTTTATGTATTCTTCACTTCATTCATGCCATCAATGTTTCCAATACATATACCCAGAGCTCTCATTTACAGATTGTCGTCATCCGCTTGCCGTCGCTAACTCTGTACCACATCATTTTCGTAAAGCGGAAACAGCAACACGTGCTGCATGTCTGGTGGCATATATTTTGCGGGCAAATGTCTGTCCGTCGGACAGTCCCTCCTATGCAGCACTATGCAGCTATTGCCTGCGTACTTTTCCCACATTCAATTTCACTCAGATATAGTTACATACATACTAGTTTTTTTTTAATTACTTTCTTGACTATTCATATTTTTGGCAAATCACTTTGAAGTGGGTGATCATCAGCTGTATATTTAGAAAGAGGAAGAGTTCATCTATTAATGAAACTTGCCTTTGAAAAAGGAAGGGTTTTCGTATTCAATAACCTGGTTCAAATGAATTTATTCTGCACAAATTTTAAACTTCGAAACGGTCGTTGTGCTGGCCTTACGGTCCATAGCGATAACCCAGAGGGAGTTCGAACCGTTATGATCTAAAATAGACATCATTTAGGACGCCGACGCTTTTGATGAAATTCAGCAGTGCTTTCAGTTCTACTTATGAGCGGTAAAAGTTTCCAGATATTTTTGGGTAGAGACTCACCGGTAATTTTTATTTTTAAGATATTGTACTGATTTATTTTTGCACCTGAAATCTCTTGAAAAGTTCCAAAATGTCTGGAAAAAGTCCCTAAAGATCCGAATGAGCTTGCAAAATAGAACACGTAAAATTCGTAAAGGCCCCAAAAGAACTCCGCAGAAGAAAAAACTTGGGATCGTGATAAAAGTAGACCGTTTAGTCAGGTAAAAATTTTCCTAATAATACCTTTGGCCCTTTGGACCTGAAAGTTCCCGGAAAAATCCCGAGAGGTTCCGAAAAAGTCTCGAAAGGTCTCGTAAAAATCCAGGAAGACGTGAAAGATCCCGAAAAATTGAGCACAAACATTTCGGAAAAGCCCCAAAAAACTCTGAAAAATAAAACACTTGAAATTCCGAAAAAGTGGATCATAGTTTTTTCTAGGCATCCATAAGACTTAAATTTACTTCTGAATCTAAAAATTCCTGAAAAATCCCTCAAAGTCTCTAAATAATCCCATTAAACATGAAGTATTCGGAAAAGTTCCAAAAAATCTCTAAAACTAAAATATGAGTCCCGAAAATTTCGAAAAATTTCCTAAGAACCGCAAGAAAATTCCGAGAAAAGCTCGGTTTGGCAAAATCATAACGCAAACATTTTCTACGGCGTCTACATAAGTATTTTTGACTTGAATTTTTAAGCTAGCTTAATCTGATATATGCTGCGCTGGTCAGGTAGCCTTACTACCCGCCTGACGTTCAGTTCTTGGCATTACCAGGCACGCACTTCCTTTGTCATTTTAGAGTCGTCCGTGAAAATGTTGAGGGATCTACGGCTAGATTTCATTCCCCTGCGCCATACCTCCTCCACAATTGTTGAGCGAAACCTTTGTTCCCAATTAAAGCTCTCGACTTGAAAGATAAAGCAAAAATAATAAGTGCTTCTTGCTCGAGATAATAAAAGTAAAATTTTTAAAGTCCAAACAGAGTAAAATTCTACAATGAAAGAGAATTTTGATTCTAAAATCTGCAAAGAAGGTTTACTTACTGGTTAACAGGGCAATTCTGGCCATTGTCATTCAACTCAACCCAGTCTTTCGAGAGAGCTTTGTCAATTCTAGCAACTATTTTGAAAGCTCTCTTCTGTCGTTCGTAAGACTACACTCAGAAAAAAGTTAGCTTAATATATTTCCCTCAACATCGGATTTGGTAACTATATACATCTAACCAAATCATTTGTTGAGAGATGCATATTTAGTTGACGTAACTAAACTATTTTCTCAGTATAATTGAAAGATCTGCTAATGAGGTGGTCTTAGTTTTATTCTGTTGGTCTCTTGGCAATAAATTTTGTAAAAATTTACGCCAATTTAATTAATTTGATTTAAACAAAAGATTAAAACAAAATTTTACTTTAAAATAAAAAGTTATTAAAAAAAGAAAACAAATAAATAAAAGAAGTTTCTAAAGTTTTTATAAAATAATTTTTTTTTTAACACTAAACTCTAAAATTTAACTTAAAAGAAGAAGAAATTAAATTGAAAAATTAGTTAATTTCCTAAAAATTTAATGAAATTAAAATTTGTTTAGCAATATAACCTAAAAATTTAAAGGAAATTAAATAAAAAAATAAAAACGAAAGAAATAGTGAAATAGAAAATAACATAAGTCTCTGAAAATGAAATAACATTATAAAAATATTTTTCTTTTTAAAACAATCAAATCTAAAAATTATAAGAAAATTTCACTAAAAAAAATTCATTTAAAAAATGTAAGTTTAGAAAAATTAATTAAATTAAAACGATATACATTTTTCTTTTTAAAGCAATAAGATCTAAAGATTAAAAAAAAACGAAACAAAACGAATAAATTAAAAACAAAGAAAAAAATGCCGCTGCCCACAACTCGAAACTCGGATCTCTCGAATTGCCTTAAAAAAGTTTTGCAACTAACTTGGCCAGAATTGACCTTTAAGAGTCATAGAGTAAATTCAAAAGACTTATGCAACAAACTCATGAAACTTAACTGCTTTTTAATAAATTTGTGCATTTAAAAGTACCTCTACATTTAAAATACGCTGAGAAATATAAACAAACCGTCATCACTGCTTTCCCAATAAATTCTCTATACTTTCTCAAATTAAAAACGCGTAAGATTCCCATGCCTGTATTAAAGAAATTGAAAATTAACACCTGTTTAACTTGTTAACAAGTAATGAATTTAGTCAACAAACAATGACGTGAATAATACACACCTTTGACTGGGAAACTGTTGGGTACATACTTTTATTTAAATCATAAAAAATAGGGAATAAACTGTACTTTTATTAAACAAAATATATGAAAGTAAGCGCTTGATGAAAAACGCCATGGGAAAAGCGAAGAAGGAGCAATAAAATCACATTTCTTATGTAGAAGATTTTACAAGAAGATTTTACACCAAAGTTTTTTTGTTCACAGCATTGTAAAATGCATCTGAGAATGAAAGTAAGCAACCAGAATTATCCCAACTGGCATCATTGAATAAGACTCAGACAACTAGCCGCGTTTTGTGAACCCGCTTAGAACCTGCTGCTAGCAAAAAAAAAAAACAATACAACAAATTATAAAGAAATTACAACAACATGCCGACGAACTCAAGCATGGTAATAATAATAAAAAAATACAACAGACTCCAATCGCAAAAACAACAACAATACCAACCGAAAGCTGTTAAGGCACAAAGCATTGTTGGAGACATTCTTCAAACGGCCGGCTACATAAATACGTACGTACTTAGGGATAAGGAAAGATATACCATTTAATATTCATTTAGCTCACTAACAAATAATGTAAATATTTGAACAATTAATTCACATATGCGATCAAAAAACAAGTGCGATTTTAAATCAAAAGAAATCTTAGAAATTGGACAGACGAAAGACAAAATGATATGCAAACAAGGTGAGGATTATAGATACTAACACAAACACACGCTACACATAAGTATATATGTATGTACGTAGTATATGCTCCCTCGAAACAAGTTGATTCCAAATTCGATCCCACAGCATGCAACGCTTTGTATGTACACTCCGCGCCGCTTAAATAGCGCAACCTTTTGATAATCAGTATTGACAGTTTTTCTTTTGTTTGTTTAATATTCATAAATTGTTTATAAAAATACAGCATATTCTATAACAAAAACTGTGTAAATTCGATCATCAAATTTCATACGAAAAAAGCAACAAAAGGGTGCGCTATTAAAGTGGCTGGCAGTGTATAAGTTAATAATATTTTTTTAAAAAATTTTGCATATGCAGTTTTGTAGCCCATTCTATTTTAGTATAATAAAGTGCAAGTTTAAGATGAATGTTAATCACCGTTGATTTTTGGGCATTTTTTTGTCGGTGCTAGGCATTTTCTTCCATATAAAAAAAAAAATAAAATCGAGCATACTTTGCATGGAAGAATATGCCTAGAACCGTCGACAAAAAAAATACCAAAAGTCAACGCAATTTGATAACAACTTAAAATTTGAACTTTGTTTTACCAGAATTTAAGGGGTTGCAAAACTGCATACTCAAAAATAATCTGATTAAAAAGTTGAAAATTTATGTGCATCTTTTCAATTTAAAAAATTAGCATCTAAAAGATTTTTAGTCAACTGTTGACAGCAAATTTTAATTCCTTGGTTGAATATCTACAAGGAAAGCCCGTAAAACCAAAAACCAAGTGTTTTTTGTTTTGGCGTCCATTATGCCAACATTCGAACGAATATTTTTATCATATTCCTATCGAGACATTTATGATTTGATACATCGACACTCCCAAATCGTATACTGTGCGCCGCCGGTCACTTAACACAGTGGTCTTGAAACAATGATAGGTATGACTAAAATGCCAACCAAAACTGCTTGCATACCTGTTTTGGAAGGCACCCATACACCATTATGCAGTTGGAATTAAAATCATATCTGCTCCTATGCCTAAAATATTGTCAAATGAAAATTTGGAAAAAATTTAACTGCAATTGTTAGTATTTCTTGTTCAACAGAGTATTCTAAAGTTATCGTTTTGTATATTAGTGTAAAAAAAAACAGATAGTATTTTTCTCGATGATAATATTTCTGGTGTAAGCTATTTGATTGCACATCATGTCTTCTATAAGTCATCCGCAACATAAGTGTAATCACGAAGAGAACAGATTTAAAGTGTGCGCGCCTTGTGGGAGAAAGATTAAATTCGGATCGTCAAAACCTTCAGAATTTAATATAACCGGAAAATTGGAGTGTCTTATTAAAAAATACGTTAGTGAAAATTTTAGATTGACCAATTCGAAGTTCCCATTAGGCATTTGTGGTACATGTCGTAGGGTTCTCTGTGACCGAGATAAGGATATACCAAATGCAACGCGGCCTCTTCCAAACATGCCTAACTATGAAGATTCGACAAAAGAAACAAGAACAAGTTCATGCTCTTGTTATATCTGGCTCACTGCTCGGGCAACCAGCCATCCAAAAGTTATACAAGGGAGAGCACATACCTTAAATGTATTGAGTGAAAAAAACTCCACCAATGGGTTGACTGCTTTGTCAGTTGGGTCAGAATTAAAAAATCATGTAAGTAAACTCGCTAAAGCCTTCCGAAGCACAGAAATGTCGGAAACATTAAAAATTCACGTGCTTCTAAATCATTTGGAACATTGTCTGCATTTTTTAGGCAACGACGGCTTCGGAATGTGGTCGGAGCAAGCTGGAGAATCCATTCATGGCGTATTTTTAAGATTTTGGCTCAATTATAAAGTTAATTCGATTGACGACCCTAAATATATAATCAATTAAAAAAAAAACTGTCGTTGAATTTTCATCAAAACACATATGAATTTATATAAAATAATATTTTATATTGACTTTGTAAATTTATAAAATTTATGCAATAAGAATTATTAAAATATGCAATTATGTAATATTATCTCTTGAATAACTAAGTTAAAATATTTTATGCTTATAATATAAGAAAGTGTTATAATTATATTACCATAGACCTTCGCGATTATATAACTGGATTTGGAAAGTTCTAGATCAACATTTTATAATATTTTAAGCATAGGAGCAGATGGAATTTTATTTTCAACGAAATTTTGATCTATGATTATGTACAAAGACAGTTATGTAAGCCGTTTTGGTTGGCATTTTAGTCATAGCTATGGTTGCTTCAAGACCACTGTGTTAAATAGCGTACCCTTGTTCATGTAAAAAGTGTGAAAATCGTAGTTATATTAAATACGCAGTTTTTGTTCTACATAGACGATATTTTTATAAAAAATGTATGAATATTAAAGGATCAGAAGAGTGCGCTATTCAAGCGGCGCAGAGTGTATGAACGAAATTACCTGTCTCACACGCTCTCCACCCATTCCTAAGTCTGCGTTCAGACACCGAAACTCGAGCTGCTTATTATCGGCGATTTGTCTTTTGGTATTGCCCTTTGCAGTCGCACACAGCAACTCTTTTGTACGCAATTGTTGTTGTCAGCTGTGAAAGAGAGCGCAAAGCATGATGCCCGAATACGGGGAAACTCGGTATCCATCCCCTTTCCTCGTTGTTCTCCCCCCTACAAGCTTCGAGTTGCCGCAACAAAAGTTTCCGCGTCTGAACATCGACTAACCATTTCCGGCAGGTTTTTTTTTTTGGGGTGCAAAAAAATTTCGTCAAAGTTGTGATGTGTTGATATCTTCTTAGCAAGTGAAAGAAAATAAAAATCTCATTCATTGTTGAAGGCATCCCATTGAAGGGTTTATTTACACGCTAACTAAAAATTCATACATACCTACTCGTACAAACTTTATACATTCATAGGCATTTAGGTATGTAAACTGGTTCGATATTGACTTAATAACGTGACGAGTTTTTGATTTCTCACATTTAGCCGAACATACCTACATACTTATTTAGTTGTCCGTGTGACTTTTTTATGACTTTCGAGAATACTTAGTCATTGAAAAACTTTAATTGAATACAAATAGTATGTGCATGTGTGAAGGCAAATAAATGCACATAAAGTCGCATGTATCCAATGGCGTTTTTTTTTCAATTTCCTATACTGTTTCGCCATAACGCAGTAACAATTTTGCCGACACTTGCCCTCTCCTCTACCCTTGCAATCGAATTTAATGAGAAAAGTTAATTGAATTTATTTATCGTTATAATTCACACTCACTACAAAAAAGCCAGTTAAGAGTTTATTGATATTATTATTATTACTTTTTGCGCTTATTATTTTCAATTAAATTTCATACTTTTTCAGAGGAAATCACCGCTTGGGAGTTCGATGAGTAAATATTTTTATACCCGAGCGCACTTGTGCACAAGGGTATTATAACTTTGTTCACATAACGGTGGTTTGTAAGAGGCAACACGAATTGAGATAGATATAGACAAATTTATACATAAATGGCCAGAATTAAAAAATAAATCGATTAAGCAATTACTGTATGTCCCCCCATCCGTCTCGAGTATACTCGAGTAAAAATTGAGCTATCTTAACGAAACTTGGTATGTGTATTGTAAATGGGCCACGCCTACCTCCCTTATAACGGTAGTTTTCACAAATATGAAAACTGCGATATTTTAGTAATTACTGAAGCTTATTCACTCAAAATTGATATTTACAATAATTTTTAGGTGAAAAATAAGAATATGACAAACTTTTGGGAAAATGGGCGTAGCCACGCCCACTTATGATTACATGTGTATATCTTGGTACCGCTCCACCAATTTCTCACAAACTTGGCACACAGCCTCCCAGTGTATTTATGCCATGAAAAATAGCTTCTCATAAAAATGCAATCGCCGTTCGGAGTCTGCGTAAATCTGTAGGTCACTCCCCTTTGTGTGACAACATCAAGGCGCACGCCACAAATCGGCGGAGAAGCTCGGCCAAACACTAACATATGTGTAAGCGACAATCTACTATGTATATTATTATTATTGTATATACTAAAGCTAATTTATTCAAAATTGATGCTTGCAATAATTATTTTGCAAGAAATATGCATATGATAAAATTTTGGAAAATGGGCGTGTCACATCCCACTTATGATCACATATATGTATCTCGGTAACCGTTCGACTAACATGTACGGTAAATTTCAGAAATGCTTGAAACTTCGATATTTCGAAATTAATGGACGCCAATTTACTCAAAATTGATGCTAACAACAATCGCTTGAAAAGAACTAACGGGATACCGCCCACATATGACTATATAAGTTTATCTCATTATATCTAACTGAACGTTCTATCGCAGATGTTTGAAATAGAGGTAAAACCACACCTGCTTACTATGTAGCGGTAGTTTTCGGAAAGTTGAAAAACATATACATATATTTAATACTTGCGCCGGGTATTTAATCCGTCCGATGTTCATTTAATCGATGTTGTTAAAAATGTCAGTACTTTGAATAAAAGTTACCAGACAAAACGAAACAATTTGTGCACCTTAAGATGCGGTAGATTTCAAGCCTTGTGCGGTAGATCGTCAAATAAAAAAAAAAATAAGAGGTAGATCTATCGCATATGCACCCTGCTTAAGATATGTAGATCGTGTCAGCTGACACGTTCTTCGTTTGGACAGCACGACATTCACTTTGATGCGCACAACTTTAAAGCGGTGATCGGCACCTGTACATTCTGTATAGTCGCGTGCAGAGTAAAAGCTCTCTCTACCCATCACTGCTTTCAAAACTACTTTTGATAGATATTTATCGCTAAAGCTTTTCAAACAGTGCCAAAAACACCATTTTTTTACACCTTAACCTGATGGAAGCTTTCTATCTACATAATTCGTAGTCAGCTCAAACCAAACTATCGTAAACAGCTTTAACATTTACCGCACAACATTTTTTTTTTTTAATTTTTGTTGCCTTGGGAAAGACGATTTATGGGTGTCTAAGACTTTTGGCTTAATGCGGAGCTTCTACATAATATTCCAAGCGATCTCAAATTTAACATTTCATAATTTTTCAACCAACTTCACGTTTTTAGATGGTGTGCCAATTAAAAAGTATTTTTTTTTTTAAATTCGTAACAATAAGGTCCGGCTGAATGTTTTCATGATGAACGGATTTGACATTCGTACGACTTTAGAGTTAAACGGCAGTATCTAACGTTTGTTTGATAAAAAAAAAAAAAATTGGTTGCGCTTCAAACACTGGTGTCTTGAAAATCGACCAGGAAGAGGTCATAACGGACGGGACAACAGCAGAAGTGGTTTCAGAGTACATGTAAAAATAAGCAAAACTCTGCGAATCCTGTGAGGTTTGCTATTTTTAAACATTCTTTAAATAAAGAATAAAGTCAAAATAACCAATTAGTCAGAAGCAATTCGTTGCTGGTTTTATTTTAAATTAAAATGTTATAACGGACGTGACATATCGGATGTGACAGATTTTTCCTCCATACAATGGTCGCGTTCATAAGAGGTAGCTGTTTAGCTCATCTGCTACGAAACTGCTGGCAACTGTTGAACACAACAATTACGTCTTAGAAACGGCTTGATGAATATGCTGCCAAATGAACAGCTGATAAATGTAAACAAATGAAATTGCAACAAATAGAGATAGTGGCGCCGAAACTATTTAGAATTCAACGCTGAGCGGCCGGCGTGTTGCAAAAATCGTTTAATGTTACAATGAATTAAACAGTGTAAAATTATATAGCAAACATCTTAAAAATATATATTTAGAAACGTAGTATTATTATAAAATATTTTAGTTACTTTTTATCACTTCAGTAATATAAAATATAATAAATTTGTTTGCAACTGCCACCTAACAAAGCGGCGTAAGTGCTTTCGATCAGCTGTTTATGCTAAGCCCAACACGTTGAGTTCAGGTAGCGTAAAAATTTTCCGCGGGAAAAAATGGCGGAAAGTTGCCAACTGTTGAGCTGAGCGTAAATACTCAACTGTGCGTTTCTAAGGCAAATAGAGCTACGTCTTATAAAAGCGCCCAATATTTATTCTAATAATACAAACATATACAAAATGTTAATAAAAAAATTATAAAAACGTAAAAATTTTAAAGGTTTATTCTGATTTGCATAGCAATTAAATGGTCCCTTATTCAGTAAAAAAAAATTACAACTGTTGGTAGTAGCGATTTAAATATATAGAAGTAAACTTACGCGTTGGCGTGACGCTACAAAAAACAGAATTGGATTTTGACTTCGATTATAAAATTGCAAAACTCTGCGAATTGGGCAAGACTATTTGGAAAAAAAGCTTTTGTAGTAATATTGGAAAGGTTTAAGGTTAGTTTTCCAAGTTTTGAAATGTAAGAATCTTTTCTGCTTTATGTTTAATCAGCTAAATTATCTGAAGTTACGTTACTCAAATTCCCATTGAAAAAGTTTTGTTAATATTGTTCTCGCAAGAACTTTTAACGGGAAGAAAACATGCATTTTATGTCGAACGTAGTTTTTATTTTGACATCAGCGCCACGGCGGTTTAATTGTTTTGTAAATCTATGTCCTACTACGGTTTAACTAAACATGCCAAATGTGAAACAAATCAGCCAAAGAGATATTTAAGAAAACTAAAGATTTTTCTAATAGATTACGNTGTCTATCCAATGGTGCAATTATCGAATAATAGTGTATGTGGCATTTACACTGTTTCTTTATTCGAGCGACGATATGTTATGACTACCGAACTTACAACGAAAAGTGGCAGGTAATTGAAAAGGGGGTGAGGTACCTCCCATATAAACTTCACATATCTCTTATCTCTGGATCCGCTTATGATTACGTCAAACACAGCCCGCATATGTTGTAATTAACGTACCTACTTACGGCGAAAAGTGATGGTTATTGGAAACGCTGCAGCAATATACAAATGGGTCATTTCCAAACAAAGTGTACATTGCATAGTTTACTGACGTGGAAATTTGTTCAGCATACGAAATTGCTTTTTGACTCTTCAAAAGATAATTGT